AGCTGATTTAAACCCCATTAATCAGCTGATTTAAGCCCCATTAATAATCTGATTTAAACCCCACTAATCAGCTGATTTAAACCCCATTAATCAGTTGATTTAAACCCCATTAATAATCTGATTTAAACCCCATTAATGAGCTGATTTAAACCCACCTAATCAGCTGATTTAAACCCCATTAATAATCTGATTAAAACCCATTAATAATCTGATTTAAACCCCACTAATCAGCTGATTTAAACCCCATTAATAATCTGATTTAAACCCCATTAATGAGCTGATTTAAACCCCACTAATCAGCTGATTTAAACCTCATTAATGAGCTGATTTAAACCCCATTAATAATCTGATTTAAGCCCCTATTAATCAGATGGCTTAAGCCCCATTAATGGGCTGATTTAAACCCCATTAATGAGATGATTTAAACCCCATTGATGAGCTGATTTAAGCCCCATTAATCATCTGATTTAAACCCCATTAATAATCTGATTTAAACCCCATTAATGAGCTGATTTAAACCCCATTAATAATCTAATTTAAACCCCATTAATAATCTGATTTAAACCCCACTAATCAGCTGGTTTAAACCCCATTAATAATCTAATTTAAACCCCATTAATAATCTTATTTAAACCCCATTAATAATCTGATTTAAACCCCATTAATAATCTGATTTAAACCCCATTAATCACCACCCCCAACGCGATTTCCCACTTTTTCCCCAGCCCCATCCCACCTTTTCTCCGGGACCTACCCCAGCATCCCGGATTCCTTGGTCTTGATGATGTACAGGAACATGAGCAGGGTGTGGAACATGTTATTCCTGCCCTGGATCCCCCGGGAAAAAAGAGAAGGAATTAAAGACACGGAATTAAAAGATGGAATTTTGCCGGCTCGGAGATTCCCCCCGGGAATTCTCGTGGGAAAACGCCGGGTTTGGGGGCATCAAGGGGTGACAACAGGTCAGGGATTGGGGGATTTGGGATAAAAAATTCTGAATTACATTTAAATTTAAATTTAATTTACGATAAATTGGCAGAAAAA